AAAAAGGTAAAACAGAATTTCATAACAAAATAATAGGAGAATAACAATAGTTAATACATTGCATATTGTCATCTTCAAAGTAGTTACTCAGGGTACAAGATAAGGGCATAAAAATTTTCCAATCGTATTAGCATGAACCTTCCCTTTCAGTGAATTAAGAGACCCTAGTGGTACAGCTACTTTGCATTCTTCTCCCTTTTCCCTTCTTTCTTTCCCCTCTCCCCCCTCCTAGTTCCTTTTTCCTTTTAATAATTACTTCCCATTTTAAAATTATTTTTAACCAGCACAATTACCACCTAGAAAGATACCTATTTTTTTTTTGAGAAAAAACTTCGATGCCTCTGCAGGAAGAAATACCCTTCCATGCTCTGAATTCAAACTGCCTCAGTCCAAATCCTGGTTTAGCACATTAAGAGCTAAGCACTTTATGGTAGTTTATCTCTGTACTCCTCAGTTTCTTCTTTCCTGCAATGAGGATGTTATGTACTTTTAGATTTGTTGTTGGATTGAGATAAAGGAAGATGTGGGAGACCTCAAAGGAGTGGACTGACCTGAAGAGAGCATCAGTGGGTCCTGGCTCCTGCCACGCTCCCATGGGTGGCCAGACACCTCCCAAGGGCCTGTTTGAGTGGCATCTTTGAATTGCTTCCTGAAGGGAGTGGAGTCAAGCAACTCCATACTTTTGTTTTGCTGAGAAATGGAACTGAAGTTAGCAGTCTTTTTTAATGTCCTAGGGAGGAAAGAAAGCAGAGGAAGATGACAAGGGGGACCTTGGGTGGAGGAATTGAATCCAGGGTCTTTGCACTGAGATACATCACTAGAACCACAGCTCAGCCTCTGGCCCAGCCATTTTTTGAGACAGGGTTTCACTAAGTCACTCAGTCTAGGCTTGGACTTGCCCTCCTCCTCCCTCTGCCTCCTGGAAATACAGTAATTACAAGTGTCACCACTACCCCCAAATAAAAGTGGTTAGTCTATCATTATTACAATTATTATTTTTGGTTTTATGAGACAGGGTCTCATTTTGTAGTGCAGGCTATGTAGCTCAGGCTGGCCTTGAACTCTCATCAGTCCTCCTGCCTCAGCCTCCTAAGTGCTCGGATTGCAGGTATGTGTAACCATACCCAATAAGTGATTATTCTTTCAGCACATTCCCAGTGTCAGAATAACTTTAAGGAGTTAGACCACCAAGATGATTTCAGGATCACAATTCAGACATAAAAAGAGACCTTCTGCAACTCAGACAAAGCTCAGCAGCAGCCTCCTTCCTTGGCTTCCCTCAACCATTAGAAGCTGTGTCATCTGTCCCCCCATGGCATTCTGACAAACCTTGGAGTTTTAGCTCAACATCCTCAGGAGCCATCAGCAACCCTGTCAGACAAGCTGAAGTTCACTGATAGTCAGAAAAAAAGAGTTTATTTAAACCAAAATGAGAATGGTCATCTGAAAACAAGAATTCTAGTTGTAAGATAAATTCTCCCCAAATGGCATTCAATGGATTTTGGTTTTTATAGATTAAAGGGAAAAAGGACATACACAAGGAGGCTGCAGAAAACCAGATGCCCTAGGGCTGGGGTCCAGCTCACTGTAGAGCTAGTGTAAGGTCCTGGTCTGATCTCTAGTGCAGGGGAGACTCCGTTGGTCTTTGAGAGCAGTACAGGGGGACACAGATTGCTGGTTGCTGCACATTTGCCATAAAAAGCATGAGAACTGATACTATTACAGGGAGGAGGAAAAAGTTGTCCTTCATTCCTCTGCATTCTAGAGCTACAGCCCTGTGGATTAGACTAACAAAAGACAGATTTAATAGGAGACTAATCATATACATTTTATTTGATTGGGGGGGGTACTGGGAATTTAACCCAGGGGCCTTCATGTTGAACTTCACCCCCAGCCATTTTTTGCTTGCTTGTTTTGTTTTGTTTTGACACAATGTCTCGATAAGCAGCTAAATCACCAGGTTATGCTCAAACTTGCAGTCCTCACATCTCAGCTTCCCAGAGTGCTGGGATTACACGCATGCACCACCATGCCTGGCAGGATATTAATAATTTTACACAAACCCAGGAGTTTTCATAAGAATTAAACACCCAAAGAAGCGGTGAACCTGGGAGTTTACATATCATTTTAACAAAGAAAATTGAGCAGGCATGATGAGACACAGGATAAGCTACTGACTTCTAGGGTTGCTCCTCATGGCCTACACTTTTTGTTCTCTTGTCCTGAGTTGGCCAACTGGGGTTCCTGCTTTTGATGTTTCTCAGAAGGACCATTAATTATTCTTGTTTTTGTGATAGTGGTCATGATACTGAACTGCAGTGTTTTATTCAGAATTTTAAATGCTTCTATGCAGCCAGTGTCTCATCAGATGATCACCATAATGATATAGCAAAAGAAGTGGGAATAGCTGTAATCCCAGCACTCAGGAGGCTGAGGCAGGAGGACTGCCTTCAGTTCAAGGCCAGCCCAGACTATATAGTGAGTTCAAGGACAGCCCAAACTACATAGTGAGACTTTGTCTCAAAAAACCAAAAAAGGAAAAAAGAAAAGTCAAGAAGATTTTGCAACACATTTGACGATGAAGATGATTGAACAAGTTCTGAGCAGTGAAGATCTGGAGTAATAGTTTCCTGAGATGTTTGACTTCTCAAGAGTGAGAGAATGATCAAAGGAGGGAACTGGGAGACTCTACCAATGGACAATCGCAAGATCACATATAAAAAATACATGAGGAACTCTGGCCCACAAGCTACACCAGTAAGTCTAAGATGCTGACCACTCTCTGAAGCAAATACAGGATTCCAAACAATGGTCTCTGTGTCGACTGACTCAGAATAGCTAGTATTTGATTAATAACTGAAAACTTGCCTGATTTTTCTCCTTTCTTTGTCAGCTAAGGACTAACCAGAGGAGGCCAAATACATGTCCTCATTAGTCACATAGGATGTTATGTTTCCACCTACAACTTCACAGGCAACAGCCTCCAGCCAGAGCACACCGAAGCCTTCCCTTTCTCCTATAAAGCAGTCCCTCTCCTGTGCTGCCTCTGGGTCCACCCTGAGACTCAACCCTTAAATGTATCTTCCCTGAATTCTGTTAGTGTTGGAGGTCAGTAAAGGGAGGGAAGAGGAACAGTCAGGTCTCAGATGGAGAAACCTTAAGATGGAGACGTGTGACCGGCCTCCCTCCCCTGTGGCCTCCCCGCGGTTCTACTCCCTGCCCGATGCCAGGTCAGCATTAGCCACCGAGTGGCACAAATGCAGAAGAGTTGGGGAAGAGGACCCTGCAGGCCAGGATGGAATGTTTGGAATCCTGCGTGCAAGCGGGGGTAACTTACTGCCTTCTAGAGCAAGCTCTGCATACAGAGCCTTTGCTCGTCCTCTTTGGGTGGCTGTGTTCATTTCCACAAGATTTTTAAATGAACAAAGAAGGGAATATGTATAAGGTAAAGATATTTTCACAGAAAATCTCAGGCAAACTCAAGGATGCCTCGTCGTGAGGTTCAGCACAGTCCCCCAAACACACACCTGTGGGCGCACACACTCAGTCCCCATGCACAGCGATACCCGATGTATTCACACACATAAGAGAAGTGGTTCCTTGTGGAACCCAGGAATTGAGGAAGCAGAGAAAAATTAGAATAGGATAAAATAGAAAAGTTGGGGAAGCAAAGGGAGGTGACCAGTGATTGAAAAGTTAAGAAAAAGAAAAAGAAAGAATGGGGAAAGCACAGCCACAGACGCCCAAAGCAGGTGCTGCCCCATCTTTCCCACACTTGCTCCTTATAACACAGAGGCGCACAGAGGTAAGGTGGGGTAACAGCCAAGGCAACATTTCTCAAGTCATCCATTTCCTTCCCTAAATCCCAAGTGGGACTAAAGACAAGATTTAAGGTTGTTACAGGCTGATTATATGGGCAGTGAAAGGCACTGACTGGGGTGAAGGTGAGGCAACAGACACTGCTTTTCCCTCCGCTTCTAACTACTCCGTCCCCTCAGGAGGAAGCTCCGTCCTGGCCTGCAGGGTCCTATTCCCCAACTCTTCCGCATTTGTGCCGCTCCGTGGCTAATGCTGACCTGGCATCGGGCAGGGAGTAGAACTGCGGAGAGGCCACAGGGGAGGGAGGCCGGTCACACGTCTCCATCTTAAGGTTTCTCCATCTGAGACCTGACTGTTCCTCTTCCCTCTCTCTACTGACCACCGACACTAAGAGAATTCAGGGAAGATACATTTAAGGGTTGAGTCTCAGTCATATGCAAGGGACTGTGT